ACAAGTTAGATCCCAAAAAGGCAAAAGAAGCAGCTGCCAAGCTCAGTAAAGTCCAACCCTAGATATGGTATCCATTTTGTCATGTTCTGCTAGTTAAAGCAGGTCACCTGGCCAGCCCCAGCTTTAGGGAAGGACTTTGATAGGACACAGGACTATAGGAAGAACAAGAACCATTAGCAATTACAGGGAACCATCATGGTTGTTAAGAATAAGGATGTATTATATGATGGGCATGATGGAGTACACCTGTAATCCTAGGAACTCAGGAGGCTGAGGCAGGAGAGTCAAAAGTTCAGGGCCAGTCAAAGCAATTTAGAAAGGACCTAGGCAACCTAGCAAGACCCTGTTTCAAAATTCAAATTATAAGTTCTGGGGATGTGACTCAGTGATGGAGCTCCCTGAGATCTGTTCCTAGTACTTGGGGGAAAAAAAGTGGTATATAATAAATATTTACACTATAAATGCTTTCAGCATAAAAGTATACAATGACTATATGACTAATCTCCTTTAAGTGTAATGTCAATATTTTAAATTTAAGTTGGGGCCCAAACGGCCTCTTGCTTCCCCAGGTAGCCCTGTCTTGAAAAATATGGACAAAGTTCTTTTTTCATCCTGAATGACTGTGTAATTTCAAAAGGTACCAAAAATTATTTATTCATTAGTGTGCTTGTTCTTTTTCAAGTATTCTGATTTTATGTGTAGAATTTTTCTGATTGTGTCCCTACCAGGATACGAGGCTCCCCATGAAACGTAGGAACAGTGGTCCCTTGCCTTAGCACCTCGCCCTCTGGAATTTCAGGGGTTATTAGTATATGCTGCCAAGCAGTGGCCACACCCTGAAGTAAAGTGCAGAATGTCACCTGTAGGGTGAGATGATTCTATGACAATTAAATTAATGATGCTAATTAGTGATAGAGGCCGAAATGAATGGCTGTGTACAAAACTACTAACTCTTAGAGTGAATTGTTTCATCATGTGTTTTGTTATTTATTGATTATTTTAATATTCCAGCTCAGAAATGAGGAGGAGTTCCAAGGAGCATTGAGAAGCTTATATCAGATTTTTATATGGGGAGCCACCCGTGAGCTACTTGAGGGGTCTTCACTTGGTACTGAGCCATGGAGACTCAGGTTTTTCTCTTGGGAACTATCCGGGCTCTCCTGTGTGCATCAGATTGCCCAAGGCATGAGATCTCTGCCTCTGTTCTACTAGGGAGACAGCTTTCTTGGCTCTGGAGTGGGGCGTAACCCATTGGGAACTGGACAGCCCACCTCCTACCTTATTTGGCATAGAACATTCCATGGAAAACCTTTGATGTTCCCCCATATAAATAAAGCAAGTAGAGGCTCCAGCTCTCTCTTTCTAATGCAGAAGCTCCATCCCTAAGATCTGCTAGGCATTCCACCCCCGCTTTTTAAGAATTACTTTCTGTGTCCTGCGGTTTTTTTTTTTTTTGTTTGCCACCTGCTCTTTCTTAGCTTGTATTTCACAGCCAGCCCACTCCACAAAGAGGAACTTCAGTTCCGTTGACTGTGAGGGACGCAGGTGAGATTTTTAGTCTTTGGACCAAAGTCCCTGAACGTAGTAGTCATAGGGTGGAGATGAAGGATGCAAACAGAAAGGCCAATAGGTTCAAAAGTTATGCCAGCCTTCATGATAAGACAGAAATTACTGCAGGATTAAAGACTTCTATTTAGGGGATATGCATTCTTTTTAAAAGCTGTTTATATTTTCTGTAATTAGGTCATTTTTGTTCTGTCATAGTGTTTAGTACATTTTTAGAATGCTGGTCTAGTCAGCTGTGCTAAGAGGAACCAAGAAAGAGCTTTTTGTCAGCTTGGGCCAGAGATTTAAAAGGGAAGTGGTTCACAACAGCCTGACGCAGTAGAAACAATCAAGTGAGAGTTCCTCAATGGGAAGGTAAACCGAGGACATCAGAGCAGGAAGCCCTTGTTGAGAAACTCTCCCCACACTAGATATCTGTCATATATGGCTCCATCTCTCCATCCTCACAGTCAGTGACTTATCCTGAGATCCAGACAAGAGGCAAGAAGGAATCTCAATGAATAATGAGATAAATGCGATGGAATTGGTGACCAGGGCAGGAATGGGTAGGGAATAATGGACTTTACACTCCAGAATGAAGCCAGCAAACAGAAAATCTGATTTTAGTTGTCAGAGGTGGGGGTAGAGGTTCAATTTGAGCATGAACCTGTGAGTTCCAAGCATTTGTTCAGACATGTTACCAAATCATTTTTCTAGTTAGAGAAGGAAAAGACACACAAAGATTGCTGCAGAACCCCCACCTCTCCCCCACCCCCCCAAAATAAAAACCTAGGAAAAAGACAAGTGAGGGTTGATGGGTTAGTGTGGTCCCTCAAGCAAACTGGAACACTGGGCAGAGTGAAGTTGTTCAGACAAATGAAATCTAGAGCAGAAATGGGGACAAAATAGACTGTGACCATAGCAGAATTCCAGGTAGGGAAATGGTGAACACATGAGGACTGCGGGCCACACAGGCACAGGAGCCACCAGGCTTGGAATAGTTGAATCATTCCAGTCTCCAACAGGATCTGCCACTCAAAGATTGTTGGTAGCTGCAGCTGGGTAGAGCCAAGGAGTGTACAGCTACAGTAACTGCCAATATTCCAGCCTCAGTCCTGTCCCACTATCTGCTGCAGTTAACTATGATTGAGTGATATACCACACCAAGACTTAATAGCTTAAACCAACAATAATCCTTTATTTTGCATTTCAAGCAGGGCTCAGCAGTGGTCACTCATCCCTGCTCCATAATGTCTGGAGCGCATGACTCAAATGGCTGGGGACAGGTGGGAGACAGGAGAACATCTTTTTTTCTTGCAAGCTCAAAGCATCTCCCTGCAGTCCTTCCCATGCCCTCTCTAGGATAGCAGTCTCAATGTAGTTAAACTTAGGGGAGGCTCAGTGTTCCAAGAGCAAGTATGTCCGGAGTCCCACGTAGAAGTTGCAAGACATTTATGTCCTAGCTTCAGAAGTTCCAGGATATGGTCATTTCTACCATGTTCTGTTGGATTAGCAAATCATTAAAATTCAAGAGGAGACAGTATCGATACTACTCTTAATAGGAGGAGTGGCAAATAATTTGTCACCTTTTTAATCCATTACTCCATCTCAACAAGTCCTCAGCAACACCTCTTGATTCCTGTCCCCAGGTTCTCATTAGTGACAGCAATGCATGGAGTAGAAAAGGTGAGGGCATTGGAGGTCACCAACCCTAAACTGGTCCTAGGCAGGATCCACCACTTAGCAACTAGTTGAACTTGTTAGGTTGCATAACTCTCTGGAGACCAATTTCGTCATGTAAAATGAGGATAATATGGTGTCCCACAGAATCTTTAGGAGATTGGTTCTGGGACACCCTCATGCCCATGGATATCAAAATCCCTGGATGCTTAAATCCCTTATAGAAAATGACACAGAATTTGCGCAGAACTTACACTCATCCTCCCATATACTTTTAGGGAGGTTGTGTGTGTGTGCGTGCGTGCGTGTGTGTGTGTGTGTGTGTGTGGTGCTGGGGATTGAACCCAGGGCCTTGTGCTTATGAGGCAAACAGTCTACCAACTAAGCTATATCCTCAGCCCCTCCCACATACTTTTAAATCATCAGTAGATCACTTATAATACAATGTAAATGCTGTATAAGTACTGTTGTACTGGGTTTAGGCAATAGTGACAAGAAAAAAGAATCTGTGATTCCACACAGATGCAATCATCCTAGGTCTAACTACATAATACACATTAGCAAAAAAGTAGCTTTTATTCCTAAATTTAACTACATTGTATATATCAGCAACAATCTAGCTTTTACTCCAATGTTTTCAATCTGTGGTTGGTGGAATCCTAAGGATAAGGAGGACTGACTGTACTACTGCACTAGCCAAGAAATGTACTTCTCAGATCTTCCAGGGCAGATAGCATAACTGCCCAGGGGCTCTGCCCCAGCTGCTGAGCTCTGCTGAAATCTATCCTCTGATATCTATCTCCAGGTCGAGCAAGAGGCTAGCTTTCCAAGGCTGCTCCCAGCCCAGGACTAAGCACAGCAGGGATACTAAGGCAGGACATGCCAGACTTTGGGGACAAGGTTCAAGAACCAACACCCCTCCCCGCCCCCATGGCCTTGCTAGACTCAGCAGTGTCACCTGCTTCCTTCCATCCACCTTCCTTCTTTGCCCCTTTCCTTCACAAGAATCACATTTGCATCTCAGGTCCAACTCCTTGTCCAGTTCCCCTCCTACATTTCATTGTGCAATACTCCTATGGGACATTGTTCCTTGAGGACTTAAACACAACCATTTAATCATAGGGCTGCCGCAGGTATTAAATGCGTGGGTGTGTGTAAAGCACTAGGAAAGGCTTAGCACAGAACTAACATTCATTCCACACTTATTGAGTCCTTGCTGTGTGTGGGCCTGACCTGGGTGCATGGGATGAAATGGTGAGCAAAGCAGATGACACTACCAATTTAATTTGCTTAAAGCTCTTGCAGTATCCCAGCTCTTCAACAGGACACAAAGAGCCTTTCAAATCTGATCCCCAGGGCCTAGATATCCATCCAATGCCCTGCACATCTGAGCCTATGGTCAATAGAAATTTCCTTCTTCCCTCCTACAGATTTGGCTCTTTCAATGCCTTGCCCTCTGTTTCCTACTCTGAAATGCCTTCTCCACTCTTTCTTGCATACTTCCCTTTGGAGACAAACTCTTACATATCTTCCAAAACCCAGTTCAACCGTGGGGTCCTAAGTCATCCAGGAGAAGTCGCTGGCTGGCTCAGATCTCAGCATGCATCTTGTAAAAGCACTTGTTACACTGTGCTATAATTTCTGTGACAGTGTGCTGGGTAACTTGGAAGTTCCTCTGGAGCAGGAGCAATGTCTCATTCTATATGAAGCCCCAGCATTTGGCCCATAGTAGGCTCTCAGCATTTATCCACGGAGTGGGCAAGTCAATGAGCAACCGAGAAAAGCGATTTCCCACTGCCCTAGCCCAGGATGACTGCGGAGCCTGTGGCGAGGGGCTGGGGGCGCGGCCCGGGCTGGCCGCGGTCCCACAGTCACAGCCGCAGCCGCTGAGGGCCTGCGGGGACCTGCAGCTGCTGGCACCGGCCGAATCGCGGCCGCTGCTGCGAAGCACATGACTGCAGCCTCGCCTCGGCCCCGCCCGCTTCCCCCGCGCAGTCGCCGCTGGTCGCCTCCCCGGGTTGCTGCGAGGCCGACCGGCAGGCGTCTAGGCTCTGCGAGCTCCCTCCACCCTCCGAGCTGTCCCATCGAGGAAAACCGAAACCAAGCCTGTCCTTCACCCCGCGGCCCCGCCTGCCTGGTGCTCCGAAGGCCGCTCTCGCCCAGCTGCAGAGCCGACACAGCGCACCGCCCCGGCAGCGCGGCGAGCTGGGCACCGAGGACACGGGCACCGGGAGGGCGCGGGCGCCAGAGGGTCCCAGGTCTTCTCGCCGCTACTGCAGCGGCCTTGGAGGCTGCTCCTCCCTCCTTGCAGTTGAGTAGCATCGGGTGCGGCCTGACCCGGCCCGGGAGCCGCGCGCAGAATGGGCAGATGCTGCTTCTACACGGCGGGGACACTGTCCTTGCTCCTGCTGGTGACTGGTGTCACGCTGCTAGTGGCCCGGGTCTTCCAGAAGGCCGTGGACCAGACGATCGAGAAGGTGAGCGGTACGGGGCGTGTGTGTGTGTGTGTTTCCAGGACACCCTCGCACTTGGACCGCGGGCAGAGAAGACCTGCACCCGGTCAAACCCTCCAGACGGGGACCCTCCTTTCTTCCTGTGCTTTGTAGAGAGGGTTAAAGGATGGAGATGGAGTGAGAGGAATGCAGATGACTGTGTTTCCTTTCATAATAACAAATTGGACTGTGACTCTTGACTTTTCAAAAATGCTTGCGCTTAGATTGTCATTTGTATCTTTCCCTACCCCCCTCACACACCTCAATCTCTGTTGGACCCAAATTGTTTTTCTGTTTCATGAAGAACTAAAAGTAAATGAAAGACACCACAGAAGAGGCAGGTTATGTTAGCTGCTTGCCTAGCCTTTGAAGTGGTGTAGGGCTGGGGAGGAGAAGTGGGTGTGTGGTCTATTGTGTTCTTGCCTTCCTGTTCTGGGTAGGGCAGTTGGAGTAGGCAGACCAAGTCGTTGGACTAGGTGACATTTCATCCATCAAAATCTGCTTACACAGACTTAGCAGCTTTGTATCTTGCACCAACAACCTGTGTCACCTTGTCTCACCATCATTCTTGCCTTTCTCAGACAGCCACCACTCTCAGGCACAGGTGCATGTAGATCCCTCTAGGAATTGGGACCTGTCTCTCCCCTTGCATGAGTAGGCTGCAAAGCTAGTTATGTCAGGAGCCTTCTCCATCCTTTGACTTAACTGGTCATTTCCTCTGCCCTTTCACCCACATCCACCAAGCCATGTAGAAAGAGGAAAGAGAAAGGTACTGGGATCTTTTTCCTTTTTTTTTTTTCAAGTCACTGGAGCAGCCTTTCTTTTTTAGCACCAACAATTTCATGCTTTTATACCACTGATCTACACTTGTTATCAGCTAGATAAAATAGAGTCCAGGCCTTGTCCAGGTTGAGTTACTCTACTTCCTGGTTAGTAAAGTTGTTTTATTCCAGGTGATAACAGCTATCTCCCTCTAACAGGTTTTGAGAAGTAATCAATTACTTGGAATCTGACAATTAAAGGCAATTTTTAAAGAAAGTGCCATGGCAAAGCATCATTTAATTTTTCACAAGTTCACATTGCCAAGGGAAGACAAGGTCTACTGTCTGAGCTTCTCAAAGACCATTCTTTTCCTGAGCACCGAGTTCAGGAACAAAATAAAGCAAATCTTTTCTCTCCACATTCAAATCAAGATTTCACAGGATTTGTTTGAGGATGTAAACCCTTGTTTTTAGGGTCTAAGTAATCTGATAGTTGATATGTGAATTTTCTTGTATGGCTTTAAAGAATTGTTTCAGGGGAGCCAGATAGGGTGAGTGATCTTCCCAGTTCCTCAGCTCTAGCCAGCCCTCAGATTCCCTGTGGGTCTCCATTTCATGTTGGCCCGGATTGCAGGTGGAGTGTTGCTATAAGGCAGCCTAATACCTAAGTTTGTATAGGTTTTTCCAGTTGATTTTCTCCATAAGGAATGGCCAAAGACTGATGTTCCAGTACAGGGGTCCTTTAGAACTGACCAACCCCAGCTCTGTAGCACTGTACAATGGGATGTCTGAAATAAAAGGTTAAGACTAGTTTAAGTGAACAGATTCAGGAATGTTGTAACTCAACCAGAGGACACACCTTACCTTTTCACTCTTTCCTGGATAATCTGTAGGGTACAAGGTAGCACAGGACAGTGGGAAAGAGTAAGGACTTTGCAGATAAAAACTCCTGGGAATGAATCCTGGCTTCAGGTTCTAGCTGGGTGACCATGGACTAGTTGTTTAATCCCTCTTCATTCATTTCCCCTATCTGTAAATGGAGATAATAACAAATAGTGTACGTAGAAAGGTTATAAGAATTATTCAAGAAAATGGATATGATTTTCCTGGGATATAGTTAGTACTTAATACATGATAGCAATTTTGTTTTTATTAGAAGACACACGATGAAAGCGTACATGAGATTGGGAGTCAGACACACTGTATTTAGATCCTAAATTTGCCATTTTCAAGTTTTTTCCTCTGGGCAACTTCTCTGAGCCTCCGTTTCATTACTTGTAAAAGTAGGAATGAGAGATGTTAGTATTTTGGACACAGTGGTATATTTACTATGGGGCTCATAAAACTTAAGCTTTAGATCCCTCACTTGCAGAGGCCCTTCCAAAGCCCTGTATCTAATTCTGTATCCCAATTTTTATTCCCAGGAAGGACCCCTCAATTTATATGAGGTTCAGGACCCATAAAATCTGAATCTGCCTCTGCATAGTATTATGGGGCAAATGTAGAATTTTACATAATCTCAGGCAAGAAACACATGACCAATATAGGACAGTCATTATATTCCTATTAGTATTATCATGTAATAATTCTTTCATAATTTGACTATTATATAGTTGTAATTGAATCCACTCTTCTATTTCCAGTTCTTAGTGTTTTCATTGGAAAGTTGTCCATTGAAAAAAAAGGAGAGGGAAAAGGGATGAAGTTCAAATGCATAGTTTGGCTAATTATGAGAAGTAATTAGTACAGTAATTCCTGTAAGAATAATTTATCTCAAAGTGAACATTATCCTTGTGCTCTGCAGTGACCATAGGTGACTAAAGGGAGACTTTTATGATGGCCAGTGACTATAGTGGAAAAAACTAAAATATTCTTGTACCAACAGCCTGTGTTGGCTCACTGGAGACTGCCTTGTATTGGGCAAGCCCTGTAATAATTGCTATTCAATGTTCTGCTTTGCAAAAGAGGCCTTGTAGTACCTTCCTCCTTTTGGGCCCATATATTCATTTCCTGGGGGACATTATGGCATTAACAAGGCCTTTTCTATCAAGCACTTGAACTTTCCTAAAGACCTAGTGTAGAGACCCGGCAAACCCTTTTCTTCTTACAAGGGAGAAGGAAGAATTTCATGTTGTATTTCATGTAGTAGCCCAACCAATTGTCTTGACATCTGGCACAGTGCCTGCTACATTGTAGGGACATAATAAATGCCTGCTGTTTCCCTTTTTAATTTTATTCTCAGAGCTTTGCACATGCTAGGCAAGCACTCCAAAACTGAACCACTGTTGTCTCACTTTTGATCGTTTTAATGGAAAGAAGAGTGCCCTGAGAAACAGCAGAACTAGACTCAAATCATTTTGTCACCTACAAATACTTGGATTATGTTGAGTAAACTAAATAGCAAGTTATTTTAAATTTATTTTTTAATTAAACAAATTTCCTAGTAGCAAATCATTTAACCCTGAAAGATTCAGGTTTCTCATTTTGAAAATGAGGATAATAAGAATATATTGGGTTGTCAAATAATGAAATAAAATTATTTCTGTAAAGCCATCAGCTTAGTGCCTCACACAATGCCAGAACATTAACATTTGTTATTGTGTTTAGCTATAGTTTTCTCTCCTCCTCCTCTTCCTCCTCCTCCTCCTCCTCCTCCTCCTCCTCCTATTACTACTATACTAGGGATCAACAACTATACTGAGTTGCTGAAAGTCTCACTAAGTTGTTTCTAACTTGTGATCCTCCTGCCTCATTCTCCCAAGTCCCTAGGATTACAGGCGTGTGCCACCATGCCCATCTCATCTATTGACTGAAGCTTCTATGGTAACTCAAATTCCTTCTAGCTCCAAATTTCTGAGATTCTATGATACAGGCACAGTGACTTTTATTTAGGGGCAGTTATACACCTCAGAATAGTAAATTTACCTCTTGATCCCTGCAGACTTGTTGACAGTTTGAACATTTAATAGAAACAGGAGTGTGGAACTAACCTTAGGCTAACAAGAAATGGGTTGGCAAGAAAATCAATGAGAGGAAAAGAGACTTCATACCTTTTACCTCTTCTTCACAGGCCAAGGCAGGGTATAGCAAATGAACAGGACAAACACACTTACCCTTCACCTGGATGGAGGCTTTGGGCAAATGAGTAGTAGCTGGCCTCTTTGGGAATGTAGCAACTTTCAAGGGTTCTACTAATGCCTCAAGAAATAAAATAGAGTCATTTTTAACCAAGTAGCTTTGGTTGGTGAATATATGGAGTCTTCTTTTTGATTTTCGTTTATCATTTTTCATTAAGTCTTCTTTTTTAAAGTCAATGCAGTAAAACAGCTTTGTTGCTGTATATGTAAAGGCGATCAGCTATATATTATCCTAGAGGGCTCCTTCCTGGGTATATACTTTATCTCCTGAGTTGCTTCTATTGGAAGCTAGGAAAACTTAGAATCTTAATGTAAGATTTTTCTTTTTCTCCAGTTTCTATATCTAATATTTTTGTCTTTTAAAATTATAGTTATGAACATATTGATTGTACAAATTAATGAGATTCACTGTGAAATTTTCATACGTGAATATATCATTCATTACAATTTTTTTTCTTAATCAGAAAAATGAAGAGATTGCTTTATATGTTATTTTGCATTTAAGCAAAGTGAGGCCTGGAGAAAGTAAGTAATTTACCTACAGTCCAATGGAAAGGTAGGGGTAGAGTTAGGCATGTGTGCTGGGTCTCCTGATACTGAACCCACTTTCCCCACCTCAAGGATGGCCACACGTTCTGTTTGCCCAGGATCATCCTGCCCGGTACCTATTGTTCTGGTTTAAATATTAGCACCCTCTTTCCTCCAAAAGATTTCTGATTTGGACAATAAATTCTATGCCTCCCCACCCCCACTCCGTGTCACATTGTCTTCATATACTGCGCTGACTTCCACTCTTTGGCATTAAAAAGGTCTCATGCTCTTTAAGAGCTGTGTCTATTCAAGCTAGCTCAAGCTAAGCTGGAGGGGGGAGCCCTTAGATACCTAAGGATGAGAAGCACAGCATATTAAGTCCTCCTGAGAGTACAGTAAAA